ACGGCTTGGGGTGCCCCCTGCCCTCGGCAGTGCCAACCTCCCCGTGCCCACCTCCCAGGGGCAGCCAGCACACCAGGGAGGATTGCTGCATGGGCTGAGGCTTGCCACCTTGCCTTTTATTCAGTAGGTTTTTGGTGGTGGTGGTTGTTAAGGACCAAAAGCAGTGAAAAAAAAAAAGGCCAAGCTGAGTGCCAAAGGCAGGTTAGTGCCAAGACCTCATTAGCTGGAGACCTCTGAGATCCTGCTCCTCCACCTTGGCCTCTGAAGTGGTTTGTGTTGATGCCTTTCCCCACGATCCCAAACCCAGATATTTGCTAGGTCATGCAAGGCCTTGGGGGCACGCTGCAGAAGTCATGGTGCCCTGAAGCACATGCAATGAATGGGCTGGGAAGAAAGGTCTGGACTCCCTGGGTGTGAGGAGGGATGGAAACAGAGCAGAGTAAGTGTCAACTGGTGGCTCTTGAACCTGAAAACCTTCCTAATATCTCAGAAGGTGCTGTTAGATGGAGGCTCCCACACTGATTCTTGCTCCCCCATATATAGAAAGCTCTGGAGATGATCTCCAGGCTCTAGTGAGCTCTGTCACAACAGGGAGCCTCCAATCAATGCCTCTTTTGTTCAGAACCATGTGAACTCCACAGCACTTTGCACAACCTTGCCTCTGCTGAGCCTCTCACCGATTTCTCTCCCTCCTGCTCCCTGATACTCATCTCGCCCCAAGGGCACTGAAAGAGCCCTTGGCAGAAGTGTGATGAGCCACCCTTTGGTGTGGCAACATCGTGGCTGATGCAAATGTCAGGAGATTCAGTCCTGATAGTCTTTGCATCACTTAGAACTAAACCCAAGGGTCACAGGAGAACCTTACAAAAGGAGACAACAATGCAACACAAAAAAAACCCTACACAAAGCACCTGATTTGGAGACACTCCCTGGCATTACACCTTAACTATGGGCCACAACCTCCCTCACAGACACTTCAATCCCATCTCCAAGAACTTCCCAGGAGGAGAAAAATGGGATGGAAAGGGAGCTCAGAACTTTCCAGCTGGTGGGGCTCACACGTTTTTCTCCTGCTTACTTCTGAATTCATCTTTCAAGTCTTCCCTATTTTTAAGTGGAAATACAGGTTTGAAAGGCAGCCCTGGTGGAAAGGAACACTGCCAAGCCTCCAACAGCCCCAAGGAGTGCCACAGGTGTGTTAGGCAGGGTGGGAAATGGGAAACAAGAGCCTAAATCCCAGCAGGGGAATTTCAGGTGGCAAGAAGCAAAGCTTTGAGCTGTTGCTTGGCCAAGAGGTTGGGGTTAATATCTTTCCTTTTGCCAGAGAGGCTTCGTATTG